AGTCGACTGTATCATAATAACATTTGAAGATATATTCGCTTTTGTAAATTGTAATGTGAAAATAAATGTTGGCAAATAGACAAATTGTAATGTATGATGTATTTTTTGTACTGAATGGCACTTTACATATAAAAAAAATTTTTTTACTAAACACATAAATATGGTTTAAGTAGTCTACGCTTGACGATCATGGATATGTTTAAATTTTTATCTTCCCCAGTATCGGAAGCTCTACAGACACATAACTACCCCAATGACACCCGAATTTTGTGCAATCACGTGAATATAAATCTATTATATAATTTGATTATAAATAAATAATTTTTATCAATATCGATATATAAAATAAAAATACGCAGATGCTTTTAGATTTTTTAAAATGCACAAGATTCAAAAACCGTCAATACTGTATAAGCCTGCTTCTTAACGTTAATTCAAATAATACATGTCACAGATCATAATGAAGTCGGATTAAAATGAAATGAGGTGTTTCTATTTGACTCTCTAAAACCCACTTATACTTGTTCATTATAAAACTTGCTTTTAAACCCTAATCCTAACTCTAAAAAAATGCTAAAAAAAATGCACCCAAAAATTTGTATTTTTAGGTGGCTCGTCTATTTTACACTATCCCTCATTTCATTTTAATCTGATTTCATTTTAATCTGCCACAATAATTAACATATAATAGTTATATAGTTATCATATTATTATAAAATATAAATACAGTCAAATCTTGATATAGTCATTCTTGATATAGTCACAATTATAAAAAATTCTAATTTACCAATCATTTGTAAAACATAAAAAGATTAATCTTTGTATAGGCATTATTACCTTAGTTATATTGAATTTGGCCACTAATTCAGTGATTATATCAAGATTTAACTATATAATTAGGGTCCGTAATGAGTCAAGTTAAACCTAACCTGAACTTGGCAAATTACTGGGCTTGGGCCCAGATTTTTAGGCCTGTAATCAATTTGGGCCAATATCAGGCTAGCTTATAATTAATAGGCTGGGTTTAGGCCTGATTTGACCTATTGTAAACTTTAGTAAATTTTAAAATCGAGCTGGGTCTGGGCTCAAATTCTCAGACCCGTAATAAATTTGGGCAATTTCAGACCAGACTTGTGTCTATATATAGATATTTAAATTATTTTTTTAAAAAGGTAATTTTGACAAACATTTTGATATTGCTAATTTTTAATATAATTTTCACAAAGTAGCTATACTATCTAATATATTTTGTCATAAAGAATTCAAATAATTTCACTAAGAATTTTGACAACTATGAAAATTAATTTCGTCACTAATTAAATTAATTTGACAGACTAAATATCAAAATAATTTTTTATTAAGAGGAGTAATTTAGACACTTATGTATACTTGGATCTAGGCATCCTGACCCGACCTAGACTCTATATATAATAAAATATAATAAAAATAAAAAAATACATTCATGGTATTATAGTTTATGCTATTATCTTTATGTAACTAGTTTTTGGCCTATGCCTCTAGTAGGCTTCTGCATGGGTCTGGGCTATCCATGGGTACCTATGGGTACCTATGGGTAGTATCATAAGGGCCGGGTCAGGATACCAATTTCTGGGCCCTTAGATAAGGGTAAGGGTTCCAGATGCTGAGCCCTTACAAAGCTGGGTAGGGCTTGGGTAATAATGCTTACTGCCCTTTTGGCTCACGGGCACCCGTCAACATGTTTCACGTGACCAACAACCAATCATAATACAGATGCGTAATACATATATATATATATGAATTAATAATTCTTACATTCTTTGGAACTTTATCCCACTTAACGATAACTAATACAACATCGACGCCAAAATACACTCTTAATTACCAACGCCTAATGTTTTTACTTACCAACTCCCAACGCTCTATATTACCAATGCCCAACACTTTTAATTACCAACTCCCAACGCTCTAGATTACCAACGCCCAACACTCTAAATTACCAACGCCCAGCACTAAAGTACCAACACACTATAAAGTACCAACACACAAAGTACATACCAACGTACTAAGGTACGCACCAACGCACTAAAGTACCAACGTATGTACCAATGCACTAAAGTACCAACACACTAAAGTACCAACGCACTAAAGTACCAACACAATAAAGTACTAGCATACTAAGGTAGCAACACATTAAAGTATCAACATTTACTTACCAATAAGACCTGGAAAGCTGCTAAAAGCACGGTATGTTATAATTAATTATTACTGCAATTTTATTATTATAATAAAACTTTTCTAGAATACTTTAAATCTTCGTGAAAATAAAAAAATTAATTAACATTAAACATTTACCAAATATTACAAAAGCAAACAAGCCCGTTAACATGGATGACCCCAGGGATAACCATAATGATCCTGCAAATATGAATGACTCAATAAATAATAACAATGAGCCTGCCAATATGGATGACCCATATATAGCCATGAAGTTAATGACTATAATATTGACTCTGCCTCAACATCATTTGTACTAGCGTCATCCGTCACTGACTTGGATACCGTCTCGATTAACAGCTCAACTACTAATGAAACTGCCAATAGAGCTATTATCCAAACTTACAGTGAAACCTCCAGTCAGCTTGCATCATTAAAGTGTACATCTACTGTATGGAACAGTTTTTCCAAAGTAACTAATGAAAAAAATGAAGAAAAAGCCCAATGTAACTATTGTAATAAGTTGTTAAGTCACAAAAAAGGATGTGGAACATCTCACCTTCAGCATCATTTTGATGCCTGTCTTAAGTACCAAAGGTTCTTATATCATACTGGTTCGAAACCAACACAGGTAAAACAATAAACCTTTTCTACAGGTATTCTTTCAAAGATCTTTGGTGTGATATGCAACTTTTACAAAT